TATTTTTCCCATCTCACATGAAAAAGGTTATTTCTACCTACAAGTTCCAAACCAGCAAGGGTAGAAGCAGTCCTTTTTGTGTTCTGGGCTGGACTGGATGTTTTCCTCTTGTTTATAGCAGCAAGGAGAAAAGGAGACCTCTGCTTGCTAAAATGGTATTGAGTGTTTCTTCCCTTGTTGAATCCTGCCCAGTAAAATAAGAAGCTACAGACTTGACTAGACAAGATTTGAGAGATCCATGATTGAATCTCCCAATATCTTTCATTTCATAGCTTTAGGAGAAGAGATGCTTTGGCTTGGCACTTTGATACTTAGGGATTAAACCCCCCGCCCCTGGTCATTTCCTGTTTCAAAATCCCTTCCCTCCCAGCTGCTATAGCCCCAGTAGGGAAATCTTTAAAATGCAGGTTTTCTTTTGACTTCCCCTATAGGGGCTAACAGCACTTTGTGGGGAGATTTCTAGGGGGGAGTTCATCACACAGTCAAATCAACTCTTCTCTTTCATCCCCCCCTCCCCAATCTAAATATCTGAACATAGATTTCCAGCATCTCCCATAGTTGTACCTCAGTGAACCAATGCTCCAGAGACAGTGTGGCTGAAGTAAGAGGGCAAAGTACATAGTGGACTGAGAAATAGGAACTGCAGGGAAAGCTAGACAGATAAGATGAAGGGGAAAGGGAGTTGTGACAGGGGTGTGTGGAAGAAATTTCACACAGGGTCTAGGGGCAAGAGAGGCCAGATGTTGGCAGGGAGTAAGAAGAATGCAGGGTTCCTAGCCAAGAATCAGAGCAATTGAAAGAGAGGGGACAGAGTAGGCATAGGACTGGAATGCAGGGCCTAAAGAAAGATGAATGGTGAAGGAATGGAAGACAAGACAAAGAGAAATGGAGGCACTGTGATGAGAAAAACAGCACCAATGTAATTCTTCTGACTGTGCACATTCTTAAAGCTGTAGATGGTTTCTGAGCCTTCTAAGTGAGGAGAATAATGCTGGGGAGAATAGAAGGTGACTTTGATTTCAACTAAGTAATCCACACTTTGATTGAAGGTCTCTGATTTTTTTAAATAACTGTGGCGAAACAGGGACCCACCCTCAGCCCTGGGAGACTGAGCAGCCATTCTGTGGCTCGCAAGCCCCTGTTTTTGCCTTCCCACCCTTCTTGGTGGGGCTATTTCCCTTCGTTACATGCTGCCATCACTCACTGAATGGACACGGGCCTTCGTAGAGGGACAGTGAGCCCCCTCTGGCTAATTTCCCAACCTTGGGAAGTTGATACCACAATCTCTGGCCTCCCTTTTGCTTCTGGTAATGTGCCGAGCGGGGAGGACTTAGTGGTCAAGGCACACCAGGACTTAAACTCAAAAAAGGTTTATTTGAACTATATACGTATTAGGCACAGAACTTAAACACATGCACATCAACACAACCTGGGCGCAGAAAATAAACAGGATTTAAAATGCCATTCCTCTGTCCCCTACACACACCCTCTCTATCTCTGGAGGTTGTGGGCCTCAGGATGGGATTTATTTTCCCCCTCCTGTTGTTGTGGAGAAATCCCAGCCCTCCTTGGGACCAAAGCTCCCTCTAAGCTATGGAATCCTGTGAGCAAAAAGTCTACTTTGTGAGCTAACAGCACTAAAATTGTGAGCCAGTGATTTGGCTACTGCACAAATTAGTTTGCTCTGGAGCCACCCTTCCTGAGCTAAGATAAAAATGTGTGAGCCGGGGGCTAAGAAACTGTGAGCTGGCTCACACTAACTCAGCTTAGAGGGAACACTGCTCGGGACTGGTCACTTGTACTGTTACCCTCCTGGCTGTCCACCATGGTTTATAGTGGCCTGGATGCCCTGGAGTCTGAGGTAACAGGAGCCCCACCTATACGCTCCCTTGAAGCTGCCATCCAAGCTGAGCCGAAGGCCAGACTAGGCTGAGACTGAACTCCTCCCTCAGGAGCCAAAGCCTTTATGTGCCTGGCTCCACCCCTGGGGTGTGTCCATATTTTCCCACTCTTTTCCCTAAAGCTTCTGGGAACTGTAGGCAGGGAGGTATGGCAGCTCCATTGTTCCCTATGGAGTACCTCCCCCCTCCTAAGGACTACCAGGCTGGCATACATTTTAAAATACACTGCTGCCTCTGCCTGGCAGCCATTTCGTTATAATAACTGTTGTAACCATTGCTCATTCCTGATAAGACTTTATACCACCAGTGTTATACAAGCAAGAACAATTTTATCTACATATACTTTAAGTGCTCTTGTTGTATCCAAATTCTGTCTGATTTAGGTGACAGTGGGTTAGTGCTGCTGTGTAGAACAACCCGTGTAACTGTCAAGGTACTAAGCCTTTTTGTTTGGATTTCTCTGCCTCAGTATTCCTATGCCTGTGTTAACTTGAACGTATAAAGCATTCAGCATAGTTGGGCAGTTCTCTGCCAGCAGCAAAAAAGAATTAATTCCCTAGGAAATAGTTGTTGTAGGAAATACATCTAGTGAAAAAATTGGGCCATCACTTTCTGATATATATATTTAGCAATTGTTAGGAGCAGCTGGATCTTAGTGTGCTAGTAATTTGGAATGAGTGACTGTATTCAGCCACACAGGGAAATCAACACTTAAGGGCACTTAAATGTTCTTAATTGGTTTCTTCCAATTCCCCAAACCTACTGCAGCTGCTTGAAATTTTATTCCTGGGGGTCAGTGGATCCTGAGGAACAGCATAGTGTGGCTCTTGAGAGGAGAATTGGCAGAAATCACTGCCCTGCTCTTAACTGAGGTTCCTTTAGGATTTTGGAATGAAATTGGATACAGACCAGTGTTTCATTCATGTTTCGCCACTCTATGTCTCCTGTCTTTTCCTTAGGTTGCCAGCAATGTTCTCTTTAAGCTGTGGAGTTTTGTGAGCAAAAATTCTTTTTTGTGAGCTACTGGCATTTAAGTTGTGAGCGAGCCATTTGGCTGCTGCATAAATGAGTTTGCTCTGGAGCCATCCCTTCTGAGCAAAGAAAAAAAATGTGTGAGCCAGAGGCTAAAAAACTGTGAGCTAGCTCACACTAACTCAGCTTAGAGGGAACACTGCTTGCCAGGTCCTTCCTAGTCCCCAATGGGGGACTTTGGGGGATGTTTCTGGAGGGGGTGGGGATGTTCCCAATGTGATGACATCACACAAAAGTGACATCATCATGTTGGAGACCAACACCCTGCCCCGTGCGCCTGTTCTTCAAGCAGCAAATTCGCCACTTTGAGTTTAGGTGTCCCCCCCACTTTTTGCCCAAAGCATTTAAAGGGTCCCTTTAAATGCTTTGGTCAAGAAGTGGGGGGAGGCACTTGAACGCCAAACAGCTAATTTGCTGTTTGGACTTCAGGCATGCAGCTGGCAGCCACCGCTCTCTCTCTCTCCTCCTGCAAGATTTAAAGGCCCCTCCAGCTAGTCAGTGGGCCTCATGTTCCTGCCAATCACCTGGAGGGCCCTTTAAATCTCACAGGAGGGAAAGGAGAAGGGTTGCCCCTGTTGGGGTGGGGCGTAGGGACGGGGCTTCCCTTGCCAGCTAGCTAGCAGCAGGCAGGAGACCGCCAAATCAGGGGATCCCCCACCTCCACCTGGGGACTGGCATCCCTACTTTTCCTTTATTTGCAAGACCACTTCCCTGTCCTGGCCGACCAATATGCTCATCTTATCATATCTTTTTCCACCATGCTGCTCTGCTGTCTTCATGTGTTAAAGATTGCTGGGGATTCTTGTCCTGTAATTTCTGACCAGCCAGCCTAGGATGAAGCTGTACCTGGAGATGGCTCCATCTGCAATCTTAATAAACTTTCCCTTAAAGAAGATCCTCCTAAAAAGGCCCAAGTAAAATATATAAACAGGAATGACTCAGCTACTAGTTGCACCTACTTAGCCATACTTATTTTGGATTTACTTATCACTGTCTACTTTAGTTAATTTCAGAATTACCTTATTAGTGCACAGTGCAAATAGTAGCCTTGTGTACATTAAATCTGTACAGCTGCCATACTTTGCTATTGAGTTGCAGGAGAAATTAGTGACCCTTCTCTGCAGGCATCCTTTGGATGCCATTAACTGAACTTCTGGCAGCTCCTAAAAGGAAAGTGTTCCCTGTTAAAACAAACTAGGAGTGATATTCCCATCATTGTTTAATTTGTCACAGCTATGCAGTTTTTGTATGAGTGAGCTTCATGGTTTTTTACCCCCTGGGTAGTGAATAGGAGGAACTAATTAAAAACCCTGGAAAGCTGGATCAAGAACATAAGTACAGTAATGCAGCTTAAATATAGCTAAGTGATGTCTCAACCTGTTTTATTTTGCTAATAGTACAATACTTAGTTAAATACATGAATACTTGGCTACGTCTTCTCCCATCCTGCGCCTCTTTTAGCAGTCTATGCAGTCAGAGTCTTATAATTACATCTGAAGTTAAGTAAGTTACAACTTTTCTGGAAGACTTGATTCGTTCACAGATATTGCAAAACCCATATACCTCCTCAAAAGAATTTTATGTTTTATTTTTATCGGCTGGTTTTACAAATATATTTTGAGTATATAAAATTACTCTTCTCTGAAAGCATTAATTAGAAAGCAGGGACGTTATGTTGCCTAATTTAAAAATCCTTTAATACATTTCCGAATGATAAAGAAAAGAGTTACTTATAGCATGTATGGAACACTGCTTACAAATTCAAACTTCTTTTAACATATGTTCATTAATAGTGATATTTTTGTGATCATTCTTTGAACTGTATATTAAATCTTAAATAGTGGCTGAAACCATTTTAAAAGCATGTAATGAATAAGTGATCTGACGAGGCCTGGCGTGATCTGGTCCATGAGGTCGCGAAGAGTCGGACTCGACTGTGCGACTGAACAACAACAATGAATAAGTATATAAGTCTTGATCAGATTTCCATTCAGGGTTATAGTCTTACTAGTTGGAAACTTTAACATACTTACAAGGCAATGAGTATGGGCTCATTTTTTTCCCCAGGCAAAAACTTCTTCTGCCAAATGAAAATGTTCCAGTAATTTTGAATACCTACTTTAGCCAAAAGGTCTTTCTCAAAGAACCAAAAGAATTGAGTAGGCCACGTTTCGAGGAGTTATTGCTTACTAAAAGGAACATATATCTGGCCCAGATATTCAGTTTATCTGATCCAAAAGAAAGTCAACCTCAAGCATCTGCTGTTAATCAGGTAAAGCTTGGTTTTTTTCATTTTTAACACCTTGTACCATGTTGATGAATTAAATGTTCAGAAACAGCAAGAATGTTCATATGAAGAAGAGATTGGATTTCTACCCTGTCCTTCACTACCCGAAGGAGTCTCAGAGCAGTTTACAATCCCTTGCCCTCCCCACAACAGACACCCTGTGAGGTAGGTGGGGATGAGAGAGCTCTCTTGAGAACTGCCCTTAAGAGAACAGCTCTGAAAGAACTTATGACTGACCCAAGGTCACACCCGCAGCTGTGTGTGGAGGAGTGGGGAATCAAGCCTGGTTCTCCCAGATTACAGTCCGTGCTCCTAACCACTACACCAAAATGGCTCTCTGTTTGTGAGTCCATCTGTCCGATATATTGGAAAGTGAAGTGATTTCAGATGCCAAATGACATTCGTAGGCAATGATAATAACAAATGTGATTGGATTAGGTGTGATATGCAGAGAGGTAGTAGGCGTGGAGAAATCAGCATTGGTAATGAGACAGGAAACCTAGGTCTCAATTCAGTCCAGGTGGATGCATTATCTTGAGCTTCAATATCAGTTGCAATTTGATTTCTCCATACCTACAACCTCTCTGCATATCACACGTAATCCATTCACACTTGCTATTGCCATTTGCCTGCTAATGTAATTTGGCATCTGAAATTACTCCACTTCCCAATATGTAGGATAGATGGATTCCCATTCTAGCTGTTTCCGAAGAAGTGAGCAGTGGCTCACGAAAGCTCATACCCTACCACAATTTTTTTAGCCTTTAAGGTGCTACTGGACTTTTCTACTGATAATGTGAAAATATGGCTAATATTTTAAATAAATAAAATAAAACAGATAAGGCTGATAGTTGATTCTCCTGCATACTGCGTCATCTTGGACAGAATGTGGACCTATTGGTGTGAGGGTTTTTAGGATTCTGTGAATAGCCTTTTTAGTTTCATGTTAAACCATCCTCATTGCAGCCCAAAGTACTTCAGTCATCAAAATGAACTGGGTCAAAAATCATGCATATTTATTGGTTCCAAGGAGACTCATGTGTTTCTTAAATTTTGGGATAGCGCATCCGCTGTAGTACAAGGCAGAGGCATCTTGTAAACAAGGGAAGAAGCTTCCCTTTGAATTCCATAGTAACCCAGTTTCTGGTAAAAATAGAATTTAGGCTTAAAATTCCAACTTTAAAATCCATGAACATAAACTAGTGGAGGTTTGAATGTGGCCGATGGTGCTTTTGTTATTCTAGGATCAGATCAATGGCAATGTCCAGAGAGGTAACATTTCTATGTGTTTTGAAGTCAGAATAGGTTGTGTGTATCCCCCCAGCCCCGGAAATGACATGAAAGTTTTGAGGAAGATAGGAGGGAAAACATTACTACAATTGATTATTTACGTTTCTAAACAAAAGGAAATGTTATTTAGAGCTAGAAACAGGCCTTTCTACTGTCAGCACTATCCAGAAGTAATACAAAATGCACAACACCTGTTTAACAGAGGTGGCAGTATTGTCTGGTTTAGTTTCTTCCTAGTTGGAAGGCAGGGTCAGTCTTTTACCTCACCATGGGAAAGGGCTCCCTATCTGGCCAGAGTAGCCCTGTCTTTTGGCTAAAGAACAGTTTTTGCAGAGCCAGGGCTCTATAGAGCACTGTATTCATTTCCTTGGGAGCTTTTTAAAAAGAAAAATCATGTCAATACCTGCTGAACTTCTGCAGATAGAGGCAAGGCCTGACCCATGCCTATAATTATGTGGTTATGGTTTCATTTTTACCCCAATTACCCAGTTTCTGGTTGGGGCTAGAGGTTCCTGAATGGTCAGTGTTGTTTAGAGAATGCAAAAAAGGTTCTCCCATGGTGAGAAGATTATCTCTGTTTTCCTGTCAGAAACTGATACCAGCCTGGATGTAGAGACTGGCCTCTGTAATCCTAGAATTAATTTGGGGTAAGTAATAGTTTCTCTTGTTTTTGTAGTCTGCACAATGATTTGATTTATGGCTTTGTTTTTGCCAGGTTTCCTGTCCCAATATGAAGGCTTTCAAGGCTACACACACTCATAGCAACAGTGAGCCCAAACTATCCCCCTTTGCAGTTACTTCCTTGAGTGACTCTCTTCTTGATGTTGTGGAGACACAAGGAAGAATGGGAGGAAGAGGAATACAGGTGCATGTGGTTGTTCAAAGAGTGTATTATCTGTTTGCTAAAGAAGGGTTTGGATGCCACCGTCAAGGAAATGACCCTACCCAAAGCACAGCATCGTTGCTAAATTCAGATCTGCAAAATGTTAGGTAAGTAGCAGTAATTGACCCAGTATGATCTCTGTAGCACTGAGGGAAGTAGCAGAGTAAAGAAGTGAGCTAGTATGATTAAATGGTGTTGATTTTTTTCCATAGCCAGAATAATCCTGCCCTTGTGCTCAAAATGGGATGCTATTGCAAGAAGTACTAAAGAAAAGCAAAGTGACGTGCTCAGCACTGAAATCCATATTAGGAATCTTTCATGAGTTTGGGGATTTGCTTCACGGGGTTAAGTAGCACAAAGTAGTAGAAATGTTCCCAGGGCTGTTTCTGTTTGAGAAAATGACCTGGAGGGAAGGAATAAACTTGCACGCCCCCCCTTTGCTGTGATCCCAAACCAACTTTGGGCACCAGATGTCTGTTGTTTAAAAAAAAAAAAGTTTGGTAGCTCTGGACACAGAACTCTCAGCACTATGTGGTACATTTGGCCCTAAAACTCTTGGATCCTGGCAACAAATTCTTCATTGTATTCCTTTACTTTTTAAAAGCAGCATAATGCTTTATTCCAGGACTGCAATGTAGCTGCTTTTCCTCTTCTTGTTCCTGTACTTAAGGAGAAGGGAGTTGAAGAGGGATGGGAGTTTCTTAAAAGCGAAATACTGAAGGCACAATTGCAAATGACTCCTATGAGAAGGGAAAATGAGAGGAACCTAAAGAAGCCAAGGTGGCTCCATAAACAACTTTCTGAATTCTTGAGAAATAAAAAAGACTCATTTAGAAAGTAGAAGGAAGGCCTTATAACCAAGGATGAATATAAACCAATGCTTGTAGAGAGAGAGTTAGGAAAGCTAAAGTTCAGTATGAACTTAGACTAGCGTGGAATGCTAAAAACAAAAAAAGGGTTCTTTTCTTATGTTTAGAGTAAGAAAAAGAGCAAGGACATGTTAGGCCCATTGTAGGGACAGGAAAGTGAAATTGTAACAGGTGATGAAGAGAGGGCAGAACTGCTCAGTTCCTACTTTTCCTCAGTCTTCTCTTGCGAGGGGAACGATGCTCAACATGGCAAAAACTAGAACACATGATGAGGAAAGGGAGTTGCAGCCTAGGATCAGTGTAGGGGTAGTGCATAAACACCTAGTTTCTTTAAATGAAACTATGTCCTCAGGGCCAGATGAACTGCATCCAAGGGTACTAAAAGAACTTGCAGATGTAACTGCTGAGCCTCTGTCCATTATTTTTGAGAATTCTTGGAGAACAGGTGAGTCTCCAGAAGACTTGAGGTGGGCAAATGTTGTCCCCATCTTCAAGAAGGGAAAAGGAGGATCCGGGTAGCTACTGACCTGTCAGGTTGATTACTAAACCTGGGAAAGTTATAAAACAAATCTTCAAACAGACAGTCCTTGAGCATTTAGAAAGGACAACTATGATTACTAAGAGTCAGCATGGGTTTCTCAAGAACAAGTCATGTCAGACTAACCTTATCTCTTTTTTTGAGAAAGTTACTTACTACCTTGCTGGATCAGGGGAATGCTGTAGATGTAGTTTATCTTGATTTCACTAAGGCTTTTGATAAGGTTCTACATAATATTCTTGTTGACAAATTGGTAAAATGAGGTTTGGATCCTATGACTCTTAGGTAGATGTGTAACTGGTTGACAGATCACACCCAAAGAGTGCTTGTGAATGGTTCCTCATCCTCTTGGAGAGGAATGACAATTGGAATGCCTCAAGGATCCATCTTGGGACCTGTTTTGTTCAACATCTTTATAGAGGGAATGCTTATTCAATTTGCAGATTATACTAAATTGGGATGGGTAGTAAATACGGAAGAAGACAGAGTCAGGATACAGGATGATCTTGACAGGCTAAAACAAAATGAATTTCAATGGGGATAAATGCAAAGTTCTGCATTTAAGTAGGAAAAATTAAATGTGTAATTATAGGATAGGGGAGACTTGTCTTTTCAGTAGTAGGTGCGAAAAGGATCTAGGGGTCTTAGTAGACCATACACTGAAAATGAGTCAGCGTTGTGATTCTGGTCTGTATCAACAGAAATATGGTGCCCAGATCAAGCAAAGTGATGGTATTGCTTTACTCTGCTCTGGTTAGACCTCACCGAGAGTATTGTGTTCAGTTTTGGGCACCACAATTTAAGAAGGATATAGACAAGCTGGAACATGTCCAAAGGAGGACAGAAATATAGTGTCCAGATCAAGCGAAGTGATGGTATTGCTTTACTCTGCTCTGGTTAGACCTCACCGAGAGTATTGTGTTCCATTTTGGGCACCACAATTTAAGAAGGATATAGACAAGCTGGAACGTGTCCAGAGGAGGACAATGAAGATGGTGAGGCATCTGGAGACCAAGTCCTATGAGGAAAGGTTGAAGGAGCTCGGTATGTTTAGCCTGGAGAGGAGATGACTGAGAGGTGATATGATAACCATCTTCAAGTACTTGAAGGACTGTCATATAGAGGATGGTGTAGAGTTGTTTTCTGTTGCTCCAGAAGGTTGGACTGGAACCAATGGGTTGAAATTAAATCCAAAGAGTTTTCGGCTAAACAGTAGGAAGAACATCCTGACAGAGCAGCTCCTCAGTGGAACAGGCTTCCTTGGGAGGTGGTGGGCTCTCCTTTGGAGGTTTTTAAACAGAGGCTAGATGGCCACCTGACAGCAGTGCTGATTCTGTGAACTTAGGCAGATCATGAGAGTGAAGGCAGGAAGGGTTGCATCAGTGGTCAGTTCTTGTGGCCCTTCTTACATGCCCATGGAAATGCTGATCACCACTTTGAGGTCAGAAAGCAATTTTTCTCCAGGCCAATTTGGCTGGAGATCCTGGAGCTTTTCTGTCATCTTCTGGGCATGAAACAGCGGTCACGGGGGCTGTGAGGGGGGTGGAATTTGTGAATTTCCTGCATTGTGCAGGGGGTTGGACTAGATGACCCTGGAGGTCACTTCCAACTCTATGATTCTCTCCTTCTCCTGAGGTCAGATAGCAATGGACTGAATTTCTGTTTACCAAGAGAAATTGGATGAAGCATTCTGTTTAAAGTGTCATTTTAACATTGTTCTAATTGTATTATATTAATTGATATAAACTGCCCTTAGCCTGTTTACAGGGACGGCAGTATATAATCAAATAAATAAATAAATTTATAAATTTCACAAGTGCTTTAAGAGGAGGAGCCTGTTGGCCCTGGTAAGTTGTAGCTAAACAGTAAGCCCCAAAAGATGCAAGATATTTCAGTGGAAATCTTGATATGGAACTGTACGTTATTCCTGCTACATTGAGCAACTCTTATCCTGATGAGCTTTCTTGGCTCTGCATTTCAGTATTCTTGGGATCAATGTATAATTTGTGTTTTAAATATTTGTTTGCTATGAATGTATTGGTTGAATTCAGGAAAAAAGAATAATTGGTATAGTTTATTGCTGCTAGAATTGTTAAGCAGAGTGGATGAATAAATATAATTTATTTAATATGTATCCTGACGGCTGTGGGCAGGTTGCAACATTTTCTTAACTCAGCAACAAATTAAGTACAGTATTTTGGAATATAACTGTATTTAAGACAGATTTACAGAACATGATGTGAAAACATTTGGGATCAAAGAGCCAAATACAAGGGTGCAGTTGTTTTAAAACAAACAATTAACAATTATTCACAGGTTTTACCAACTGCTTTAATCCAATCTCAGCTATACTTATCACTCAGTTACTTATGCATCTAGACTCCAATTAACCCTTCCAGGCAACTACCCCCCCCCCCCATGTAATGGTTGGGGACGTCTGGAAGTCTGTTTCAGTGTATTTGAAGAAGTGTTTGTGCAGAGGAAAGCTTATACCCAGTTAAACTTTGTTGGTCTTAAAGGTGCCACTGGACTCAAACTTTATTCTGTTGCTTCAGAACAACACAGCTACCCACCTGAAATTAACTTTTATGTTCCCCATGTCTTCCCAACTCCTTTATTCTGTGTGTTATAAATTTGTAAACACATTTTTCTATTTTAAAATCTGCCTTCTTCCTATAATATTTTAATCTCCCCTCGAAATATTAATAGGATCTCAACCTTACACTGCACAGTTTCTTGGGGATGACTCTGTTGACCTTGGAAGGGTTTTCATCTAAGAAATCATACATAGGATCAGGCAACGTAGTTCAGTGACATTTTCCCCAAAAAATTGCCAACTGTCATTTTATTGCGGGGTGTGTGTGTGTGTTTCAGATTGTATCCGTTATTTTTTAATGTATTTCCCTATATGAAATTGCCTGGGGGTGGGCATAGTTGTGCTTTGTTCCAGTATTTTTGTTCTGTTCACTATCAGTTAAGCATGATAAACAATGTTTATCCCATCTTTCTTTCATCATAAACCTCAAGATGCCATATATAGGATTCATTGGCCTTCTTAGCTAGGTACTGACAAAGCCAGACTTTAGCTTCAGCAAGGCTGCTGTATCCTGACTGCTTTTGCCATACTCTGAGACAGTATCTTTTAATAGTAATTCCCTTACGTATCGGCCATTTCCAGCTCTCCCATTGGCTGTGTTGTGCGCTCCATCAGCCATCGGCCCATCAACCGCCACTCAAGAGTAACCGCATGCTATTGGCTGGGTGCTGGGTCCGCTCTTCTTCCCCACCCACTGCCACCTCAGCCACTGTTCCCTGTCAGAATAACTGCCAAATGGTTGTCTCTCCTGGCAAAGACACTTCTGCTTGGCTCCTGTGGGACTAACTTTATTTTCAGTGGCAGTTGCTAAGCAACCAAGCTTGGTTCTGTCAGTAAAAAGGCAAAGGAATGAAGCCCTTTCCATTGCGGCCAGTCCTGACTAGGGTAGCCAGCTCCAGGTTGGGGAATTCTTGGAGATTTAAGGAATGGAGCCTGGAGACAGTGACGCTTGAGGAGGGGTGGGACCTCAGACAGGTACCATTGTTGCCAATATCTAGGTGAGGGCTGGAGTTCACTCAGAATTACAGCTGCTTTCCAGGAGGGAGGGGGGAGGATATGGGAAGCTGAAAATAGAGGGGCAGATAACGGCAGGTTGATGGTTTG